GAGCACGGCGTTCCCACTCGTGATGAGATGCGGATGCATGACCGAGCAACTTCAGCTAGATGAGCCCATTAAAACTAATGTGGTCAGCATTCAATGTCGAAAACTTACAGAGCTATTTATTTTGGGGATATATTTACGGCTACAGATCACTCCCCCCCCTAGTTGGGTAGTGATTACACTAAGACGTGGTCAGCCAGAAGTTTAAACCCAACGAGTTTTTCATTGGTAAACACTCCTCTGATAGCCTGCTAGGTTTAGCAGCGTCTGGTCGTCTTTCTATACTATAAGGGATCATGATGTACAATATAGTAAAAAAGGAAGAAGTACAATGAAGATTTCCGTTTCTCGTAAACTTCGTCGTTCGTTTTATCGTCTTTTCCAGCCGTCCTGGAAAAGAAAAAGAAAATACATAAGTGCATGTCGAAATACACTCGCACGCGCGTGAAAACACAAAGCGAACGAAAAAATAGAAAATAAACTCACGCTCACGTAATAGCTTAAAAAAGGATTTTTATAATATGTTTTTTTGGAATGAAAAATAAAAATATATAAGTAAATTAAATTTTGATGTGTTTTTTTTAAAAATTATATATAGTGCAAGGGAAAATCGAGACGATATAAAATGTAAACTTATATCTTACGTGCAGTAATCGTTCAAATGTTCTGAAAATCTTACTCTTCTTTCAGGACGCGTTGTTTTGAGTTTATTTTCTGATACCGTCGAAGTGTCAACATGTGTGTAGGCTTTCTGTTAAGGTATTATAAGGGCAGTAGTCGTGTCGTGCGATTGTACTGAAGGAAAGTCGACGTGAATAGGATTTCCTTCCAACTGCGCTTCTTTGAGGCAATCGATGCTGATGCTATCGTTCGTTCCGTTCTTATCGATTATATAGTACTTGGGTTCGCTTTGAAGAACTTTGAAAGGTCCTTCGTATGCTGATTCGAGAGGTCGTCGATATGAGTCCCGACGTACGAAAACGTGTGCACTATATCGTAAGTCAGGTTGAACGAAAACATCAGTTGATTGTGATCGAGTGGAAACAGGTTTAACTGAACGCATTGCGTTTGTAAGCCTGTTCGTGTGGGAGGTTAGATCCATGTTCATTGAAGAGGATGAAGGATCCACGAATTATCTTGGAAGTCGAAGGGTCGTACCATAAACGAGTTGAGATAAGATATATCAATTTGAATCTGGTGAAGGTCCTACCAAATCCAAATGAACATGGTCGAAGATTTAAACGAGCCTAGGGGACATTTGTCATGTCTAATCACCTTAGATTTCTGGCAGCTTACACAGGAGTGTGCCTACTCCCTCACGCCTTTATTCATGCCAGGCCAGAAAAACCGTTCTGCTACAAGCTTGATGGTTTCACGAACACCTGGATGAGAAAGATTGTGCAACATATTGTAGAGGTTGCGTCGATAATATTTCGGCACGATTGGGCGATCCCTACCTGTAGATGTGTCACACAGTAAGATTTCCTTACCCGTTCCCAACTTTTTGATTCGCAGTTTAAGTGTTGTTGAGGATAACTCGTGCTGAAGATCAGTGTCTTCTTATTTAAGCTGGGCGAGTTTTAGAAGATCGATTCCTTGAAAACTGTTCAAGGAATTTATACGAGAAAAGGCGTCTGCAACCACATTGCTTGCTCCAGAAATGTGTCGAATATCTGAAGCAAACTGCGAAATATAGTCCAGTTGTCGAGACTCACGTGGTGAGTACTTGTCTGAAGAAGAGCTTAAGGAGAAAGTACGTGGTTTATGGTCGTTAAACAGGGTGAATTCACGGCCTTCGATATAGTGTTGAAAATGCCGTACAGCACAACACATAGCTAGGGGTTCTCTACCAAATGTGCTGTACCTCGATTTAGTGTCTAGCAACCGTCTAGAGAGAAATGCCAAAGGTTGCCAGGTGTGGTTAACCCATTGTTGTAAGACTGCTCCGATTGCTTAGTCGGATGCGTCTACTGCGATACGAATGGTTGCTTCAGGGTTCTGATGAGCAAGCATGGTCGCTTGAGCGATACGTTCCTTAACTGTGGAGAATGCTTTTCTCGCGGTGTCATCCAGATTGATGTATTTCACATTTCCATTCAGTTGATCGGTAAGAGGTTTCATAATTAAGGCACATTTTTGTATGAACCGTCTACAGAAACTTACCAGACCGTTAAACGTGCGCAGTTGCTTGATGTTGGTCGGTTCTGGGTAATCCGGAATGGCCGCCACTTTTGTTCTAAGGGGTGGGACACCTTTTTCATCCATATTGCGTCCTAGGAAGTCTAAGGAGTCGGTTCCGATTTGGCATTTCTGAATGTTTACAGTAATGCCATGTTTTTTTAGTCGGTTGAAAACAAGGTCCAGATGATGGAGATGTGATTCAATGTTCAGACTTTTTATTAGGCAGTCATCAACATACGAATGTATGAAGTTGAGACCTCGAAAATCATCATCTGTGAACCTTTGGAAAGTCTATGCCGCTTTTCTTAGACCGAAAGGCAATCGACGGGGTAGCGAACTACTGTTATCACACCAGTGACATATAATAGACATCTATGTTCGCCGGCTATGTTCGCCGTTAACGCGTGCCGGCTTGGAAGTTTCTTAAAACCTTTTTCGTGTCGATCGATTTTGAGTTGGGAAAAATGCAGGGTTTTCGACAATTTATGGAGGACTTTCCGTACTTATTATGATACCAGCACCAGTCAGGATTATCCGTCTCTCGAGGTCTAGAGACAGATTGCCTACGTGAAGTGCTTCTTTGCCGGGTGTGTGACCGTTTATGGTCGTTACGAAGTTTGAGATAACTCGTAAGTGTATGACATAACTCTGTTATGTCATTCTGGGTCGATTGAGGCTATTCTTTGACTGAAAAAACCTCGGCGTTAGAAGATTTAATGATTTCGAGGATGAGGTCGGCAGATACATCCAGCTCGTCTTCAGCGTTGTTTGCGAACGAGACCAGCACAGCTTGCACCTATTGTGGAGGTTTGGATGAAAAAAGTTGTTTGAACAGGCCACCATCGAAGGTTCTTTGGCCAAAAACTTCCCTCATTCCTTGCAACATGTCTGTGGCAGAACTGTGTTGCAGGTCAATGTTGTTGAGGAGTTGGTCTAACCTTTGTCGATCGGTTAGATCTCCGCGTTTATCGATGGATCGTTTAAGGATTTCGTATGGTTCACAAACATCACTAGTAAACATACTAGGTGTTACGTACCTGTTGGATTAGCGCGGTAGTGCTTCGACTACTGCAAGGAATCGTGCACGTCTGTCGTTCACACCGTGCTCGTAGAAGTCGGCTTCTACGTAGCAAAACCAGGCTTCGATGCTGTCTGGCCAGAAAGGCATTAAGATCATGAATCGACTGATGTTAGACTGCCGTTGGAAACCTGGAAGCACTGGATGGCCGTTTCGTCCTAGTATGGGACTCCTCAGCAGTGCGCATCCACGATCCCGCTCGCGGGATTCGAACCCAGGGCCTTCAGTCTCGCGCGCGAACGCTTAACCTACTCGACCACTGAGCCAGCATCCAATGGTGTTAGTGTCTAACATCAATCCGTGTCGGGTAGAGACAGGTATCTACCTCAGTACAATGGAAGATGATCGCGCAATTTCGTGGATTGGTTGATGTTAGACACTAACACCATTGGATGCTGGCTCAGTGGTCGAGTAGGTTAAGCGTTCGCGCGCGAGACTGAAGGCCCTGGGTTCGAATCCCGCGAGCGGGATCGTGGATGCGCACTGCTGAGGAGTCCCATACTAGGACGAAACGGCCATCCAGTGCTTCCAGGTTTCCAACGGCGGTCTAACATCAGTCGATTCATGATCTCAATGAAAAGCTTAATAATCTCCACAACCCCAATACTGAGAAAGGCATTAGTTGAAACGAAGGTGGGGACACGGTCTTTAACTTAAATACCTTACGCGTTTGTTCAGTCATAGTGATATATCAAGTACGAAAATGAACGAGTGGGAAATGTATATATCCAAAAACACGAAAAAATATCACAATGTATAAAAATTAAAATAAGACAATGATATATAAAATCCCAAAAAGGAACAGTTTCACAGTTTGCAACTTGGTGTACCAGATCACATCGAGCTCACCAATGAAGATGCAACAGGTATGCGGAGTTTGACAATGCTTTAACCAGTAACACCTTCTAATATGAATCGTACCCACCAAGCGAAATCAAAAGACAGAAGCGAGGAGGTTTGAAGATATATTTGATAAGCTATCAATATATCGAAGATCGTCTGGTCTAATCTGGCTATCGGTTGCAGTAAATGTTGAGCACGGCGTTCCCACTCGTGATGAGATGCGGATGCATGACCGAGCGCCTTCAGCTAGATGAGTCCATTAAAACTAATGTGGTGAGCATCCAATGTCAGAACTTACAGAGCTATTTATTTTGCGGATATATTTACCGCTACAATTGTTTTCTGATCCTAATGGTCTCAAGTTTCCGCCACCTTCATAAGCAGCTGGTCGAAGCTAACTGTTATAACTGATCTGCAGGATAGTTTGGAGAAATTTCCATTTCGTAGTCAGTTTTGTAGAGCAAGCCAAAAACCAGGAGCATTCTGTGAGCGACGATTTCTTAGTCGTTTAGAATAAGACCAAAGTCCGAAACCAGCCAAATGTTTGAGTTATTTACCATTACGTTTCAGGTAGTGACAGTGTATTTATATGTGGTTGATAACTCTCTTCAATATAAAGCTTTTAAACACTAAATACACCCGTGATATTCATTTTTTCATTATCTATTTAACTGAAGTATGTTACTTCATGAGACTCATTATAATTCAGTAACTATTTTCCTCTCAAACACTTCTTCGTGTTTGTAGCCTAGCAGATAGATTTTGATATATAGTTAGATGAAGTATCTATGGTGTGTCTTTGCAAACCTATGACAATTTTTTTTATTTACTATTGGAGTCAAGAGGTAAAGGGAAACTGGTCGATATACGCAAGTTTAATACTGAGAAATTGGCGTTTGGATGAAATTTGTTTTTATACACCAGTCAAAATAGTACTGCTTACCTTTTTACTACTACGAATACGAATGAGCCCGAAGTTTTTAGTTATACTTATTTAAAAGAAATACCAAGCCTAATTGCCATTTACTTTGTACAAATGAAGAAAAAAATTGTTTTTATCACAAGGTTTACTTCAACACATGTGTCAAATGACTTTTCATCGTTTCCGGTTTGCCTTTGTAATTATTTCTACATAATAATCGTCCTTATTGTCTTTTTCGTTCCATATGGTTTGTGTTTTTCTTATCTACTTTCTTTTTAGTGCCTTGTGAGCAGGTTGTTACACCCGAAGTGTCGATTTATGATGAAACACCAGATGCACATACTGGCAGAGTTGTTTATCTTGAGAATAAAACTGTTTTAATAAATGGTTTAGTAGGAGAAAAAGTTATTATACAATGTAATGTTTTTAATATGCCTCGTGGAGCTAGGGTATTTCTTTATATATAGAGTATGTTTTAACTATATGTATAGATATTTTGGCGGAGAGACAGTTTATCGGGGGATGAAGTTTCAGAAGTAATAAATGATGGTCTCATGTCCCGTGATATGTCTAGGTGGGAAATCGGTCAAGGAAAGCAGCAAGATTCTGTTCGGTAAGTTTGAATTTATGAATACAAATCCTATATTCGTATAGCTGATGTATGTTTCGATTATTAAATGGTGTTACTTTTAGGTCTTTTAACAGCGTCATGCACTTCTTCATACTCAACTACAACTCGAGGTGGGATTAAGAGCCTGAGTGTTTTTTCAAGTCATATCTTAGATATAAGTTTTGTGGCAGGGTATCGTGATTGTTTACGTTATAAATTGTTTTATCGTTACTCATAACAATGTCAGACTGTTAATTGATAATAGCTCACTGACCATCATAATATTATGTTTTATTGTACTGAGTTGTTACTCAAGAAATAGATAAATATTTGTATTTTGTTGTTGAACAAATTGATGAAAAATCCTGGAACTAAACTTTTTGGAAATCTGACAGTACATCATTTCTACATCAAAAGTTCTGTTATATTAGGGAATTATTTAGGTTATACAATATTCATATACTTGAACAGTAGAATTAAATGTTATTCGTTTGCGCTTTATCAACGAAATGGGGTTCAAATGCTTGGTAGATGGATAACTCGCAAACTTTGGTGCATAAGTAGTGCATAATAGTTCTATCAAAAAGGTTATTTGTTTTTGAAAATAAAATTTGGAGCCAAAACACTTGTAGATTCCATGCTTTTGTCTTATCGTCTAACAATTTTTTGCAGTGAGAAACGCAGACATGGTTTAAAATATATGTTCACTATTTACTGCACACGCAAGTTTAAAAGTTTGTGACACTTCGATTTTATTCACATTAAGCCTGGTCTAAGGGCTTCGCGATTATTTACAAAAACGTTTGTTTTACGTATTTTGTTATCTATTGTTTCTCTTAACTAACTGTACCTTTGTTACACAATCAATAAGTACCAAAGTACTCACCTAATTAGTGTCTATCTACTTCAGTTTTTAATACTCAAAGTTGTTATGCAAGGAAATACCAACTACTCATACAAAAATATTTTCCATGAAGTGGAAGAACTGTACTGAGGTTTCTTCTTTATAATGTATTTCTCTGCAGTTAATTTACTTCACAAACCGATATCAGTAGGAGAAAATTTGAAAACAAAGGTGATCTGCATATCTACTAATTTATGATTACTTAGCAGATTGCAACTCACAACTTCACGATCTGATCAAACCGGTAAATTTTAGATCTCTTGATAAGCATTGTGCATGTTAACCTCTGGATGAATATTTAAAATTTCACTCGTTTATCAACTCAGAGCTACCACTATATAATACTATCTATAAGCAACTGTCTAACTTAATATTATTTTCCAGCTGGCCACAATCTCTGATAAAATTTGACGTTAAAAAACTGAAAGATGTTCACAAACCCTCTATATATAGATATACGTTTGATACCTTAAATGTATATATTTTAAGTTTAGAAATCATGTCTTTGGACAAATCATATGAAGGTAAATATACGTGTGAATGTCAATACACTGGGTCTGTGGAACCAGCAAGAGTTCATAGAATTCTACGCGTGTTTGGTAAGTCGGATATATATATATATATATGCATAAATGCATTACTTGTCAAATGAATGCGCAAGATTCGTGTCATAAATTGCTGAGCATTAAGAAAAATACTTTTTTTATATGGTAAGAGATACCAAAGTAGTGCGTTAATCCTTTGATAGCTCTTTACTCAAACTGCACTGGTAGAGGATTGTTCATTCTTTTTATTTCTGTTTAACTCCATCAAGAATGTATTATACATATGTATATACATATACTTTTAAAAGATTGACCTCCTACCAACGAATTTGCTTGTAAAACCTGAATACACAGATGACGTGGTGTTGCTTAAAGAAGACTCCTACATAATAAGGTCTTCCAAAGACATTGAGTGACAAAATAATTATGTATAAAATAAGTATCTTTTCAAATAAAAAGATTGTTTCATGACTGTTATGTAAACTCTAATCACTTTACTTGTCTTGTATGTCTTCTTAACTATTATGGGTTTTATGTCTAACAAAATCTCGACATTCATACAGTAAGCTCGTTTGACATTTGCAAATATACATCATATTTTGAGAATGAGAGGTGTTGGCTTTTTGAACAAAGAGACAGTAAACTGAACAAAAGTCTATCTGCTTCAAATTGTGACCGTAAGTTATGACTTTCAAATACAGATTAAATTTGTAGGATGTTAGCATTTGATAATAGATGTTTTCAAAGTATTGCTTGCTTATTTTAGTACAACTAAGTCAGCAGTATTGGGTTTAGACACTAGGTGCAGATAAAAAAATCGATTACTGAGGATATGGACCTTTATCAACTATCACCAGCTTCAGCGCGTGATGTTTATTGGTATAGCGGGCCAGAAGAATGTTAGATAGACCCATGCTAGTAAGTCCCATCGGTCATAAAGTCATCTACTGTTGTACTGAGCCATGCGGGTTGGTTAAGACTATTTGCTTGAAATCCATGCAATCATCGTAAGTAATGGTTGGAGGTGGATGACATTGATCCGATTCAATGGAAATAGTGCAGATGTGTTCACTCCTTGTCTTCTTTAAAATCTTGAGTTTTAAGGTTATCTAATATGTTTTATCCCATCAAGTAATTTTTTCTTCATGAGTCATATTACCCATGCCTAATTCTTTTCTGTTACCATCTTCGGTGTTACTACTTCTGCAATTCTGGTTTTTTCTTCATAATTCAATCTGGCTGTGTTGATATAGCATGGCGACATAAAATGACGCAGTAATGTGCTTGGTTCTATTGTACTTATGACTAGATGTCTGGTGATTAGTTAAAGTCACTGATTTCCATCAAACCTTATTTTCGTAAAATTGTGTCTAACTTTTTCCGCTTGACACAACCCTGTAGCGTTTGTTGAATTACGATGTGTGGTGTGATTGTTGTATTATTCATCTAGCTTGAAAACATGCATTCCTTTTGACTGTTTTGTAGGCATTCAAAGAGTCCTGAATAATTTACGGTCTGAGGTTTGCCTATTCCTTGTGTTTATGTCTTCTTATAAAAGTACTATACTTTCAGAAAATCTAGTCTTATGACTTTGAAATAGTTATTCACACTTTTGGTCGGTCGGTTAAAGTTCTTAAACCGATTTTGTAATAAATACTAAAGCTTTGAGTGTTTTCCAAATTGATATCTACAGGTTAGCTGAAAAAAAACACAATTAAAATTGTGATTCAACCAGTAATCTACGTCATTTTACTAACTTATTTTGCAGCAAAACCAAACATCGTCCGACATATGTCATCTTACGATACAGACGCAGATTCTGGCGATCCAGTTTCATTGCACTGTAATGCAGATGGTATCCCACCACCGTTTATCTATTGGAGACGTACAGCTGGAGCAAGTAGTATAATACGCAATTTTGGTGCTGTGAAAAGTGTAAGTAATTGAGGCAAAATAATGATAGGAAGATAAATATTCAAACAGTTTGTTGATTTTAAAAAAAAAAAACTGATATTTATATTGTTGTCAATTTTTTACGTTGTCAAACTAAATAGAATTGTTTTCTTGTCACAGTTTAGCTCACGATCTGATCTTAGCTAGACTACTATTAGAAACGATAAGCACTGTATTACTGTTTCGTTCCACTATAGGAGTACTCAGCGGTTGGTATGCACAACCTCGCACCTAGGACTTAAACCTAGGGCCTTCGGTCTCTCATAGGTAGTTCAGCTAAGATTAGTTCATGATTGATTACATACACGTTGAACACTGGAAAACGAACATATATCCTACCCCAATTTTCTCGTAACTTTTTAAAGTGGCCTTAAAACATTATAACTGACATATTTTGGGTGTATTTCAGTTGTAATTGATATAAAAGTTTACTATTTTAACATATAACATTGTCTAATTCACTATCGTTTACGTATGACTTATTTTGCCCATCATATGATAAAATATTAAGATCATGAACTGATCAATGTTAGACTACCATCAAAAAACTGGAAGCAATGGACTGCCGTTTCCTCTTAGTGTGGGACTCCTCACCAGTGCTCATTCACGGTCCTGCATGCGGTATTGGAGCCCTGAACCTTCGATCTAGCTCGCAAGCATTTAACCCCTAAAACACTGGACAAGGGTCTAGTGGCTTCCAATGGTGGTTCAACATTGACCGGTTCATGATCTCATTTAAAACTCAACAATCTCCCCAATCCTATGGTGATATGATACATTAGTTCTAAATGTATTATAATTGTAGAACCTGTTCGTTACAATGCTCTATAGGGATCTCTTATTGTTTATGTACATCAGCTAGATTAATTAACCAAATAAAGATAAAGATTAATGGAAGTGACAACTCTTAGCTTTATGTCACATGCTTCTTGTTAACATTTCTTCATGTTTTGTTTTCATGATAATTTAACTCGTTAACTCAATTAAACATTCAAAATTGTTTTGCGATAAACCATTGACTACTTATAAGTAGTTAAAGTCTATAGTGAAAAACCGACAACATTAAATCATCGACTTGATCAATTAAATTTTTTCGTGGTGAACTAATAAAAAGTATATTTTTTCATCCAAATTTTTTCTGAACAAACTGAACTGACTACGTTTTCTTTATATCATTTCGTTAAAAGTTCGAAACAACTGAAACCAACACAATTCAATCATACACAACTTTTCACCATAAGTTTGACTTAAAGTAAGGACCACAAACGTAGCGAATTAAGATGAATTCAGTTCATTTGTATTGGTTGTTTGAATTTTCCTGTTGACGTTTAGAACTGCAACTGATCAGTTTCTTTTGACATATATGCATCGTGTGCGGATTTTATGTTGTATGTTACCAAACATGAGAATTCCAGAGGACAATTTAAAATCACAGGGGGATTTATTTCTAAAGAATGAGATTTGATGTCATCGTTACATCACATCAACTATAAAGTTGGAAAGATTAACACAGTAAGATGAGTAGGGTCAAAAAGATCAACGCAAGAATAGATAAAAGGGATTTATATTTAATAGTATGAAGCAAGGTATTACGCAATAGAATGATAAAAATTAGGAGTCACCAGGGTGGCACGAGATTTAATTTTGTATTTTTAAAAATGAAGTTCCGGTTTTCATTGGTTACCAGTGAATGAACTCAGCGAAACGTAGCAAACTCAAGACTGTTTAGTATCGATCATTTTGAACTATTTTAAAGTTTCAACATTGTGTCCAATATCAAACGGATGAGGTTAGAATGTAAATGTGGATTGAATGTTACAGCAACTGACACACAACACTTCAACTTGATCACCAAATTACAGAATACAGGAAGAAGGTAGCAGTGAAGTATAAAACTTTATATTATAACTTCGAGAGGGAATTTTCAGAGTTCTTGGAAAGGCCATGATCAACAGGGGCAGTTTGTTATGATTTATGGTCCTGTCAATTACCACGTGACAAGATCGTCAATTAGAATATCGACTTATATCACGTTGTCCTTGTGCTAAACCAATGATTCGTTAACCAGCTTGAGCAGCCTTGAGTCAACTCAGTCCTTATTGATCCTTTGTATAGCAACTTTTCCCTTAACCAAACCCATTCAGTCTAGAACACATTCTTAGCCTCCATCGTATGAATAATGTAGTTCAGACATATTTGGCTTATATGCAGGCAAATCAGATCACATCACATCATAGAATAAGGAATAACAATTATACAAGATCGAACCAAAAAGTGACTGTGAGTGTACGAGAATGTGGCTAATAAATTGGGAATAACTTAAGGATAGTAAATTGAATAATAGTAGTTAATAGGTCAATGAAAGCTTGTGATAAAAGGAATAAAAATATTTATATAATGCAGTTACTTAATAATTCGTGAATTGATTAGAGTTAGATATTATTACTGTTAGATCCCGGTTCATAGGTCTAGAGGTTAAGTGTTCGTGCACTATACCGAAGATCCTATGTCCGATTACTGCGTATAGAGTCATGAACGCACACTTCTGGAAAGTCCCATATTGAGAAGAAATAACTGTCCAGTTCATCCCAGGTTTTCAATCGTGGTCTAACATTGATTGGTTCATAATCTCACTAAAACTCAATAATCTCTAAAACCCTATACTTGTAGTAGCAAAGTTCATGCAAACATACGAATTCTAGAAAAAATTATACAAGAAAGAACTAATACTTATTTAAAAGAACTTAAATAACTCAAAATCTTCCAGATAAAATGAGAATGCAAAGATCCTTCAATCAGTTTTAACTTTAAATTTTTGATATCGAAAAGCTCATTTGTTATAAAATGGACATCAATGAGTTTAAGAAAATATTGAAGAAACGATTATCTACTTGAATAATCAAAACTCATATTACTTAACGGGATTGTATGAATATAACACTGAAATTTTGGTGGTATCTAGTTCTCTGAATTCAATGATTAAATTGTTAAACTTAGACAACATTACTATCAACTGCTTCAAATTACTACACAAACATTTGATCAGACTATTGTAATAACCTTATTCGTAGCTCATTATCTTTGTAGATTTCATATGCTTTTGAGTGCATATTAATTATTTAGTTTGGTTGATCACCGACTATGTAACTGATATACGTTATCTCCATGAGTTAATAGATTAGAGTCACCACTGCTCAAAATTATTCAGTTGTATCTTATGTATACTGAAGGAAAGAACATCTAAGGAGATAAATCCAGCATTACCTACGAAAAAGAATTGCATCATCTGTGAGAATCACTGCGTCAAACATGATGAGATGATAGCCTTCTCACTTGTGGATAGACAAAGAGATTAGCAGTCAAATGAAACAATATGTCGTCATTTATATCAATTCCTGGAAATGGTTATATCTCAGTTTTACAGAAGATTATTCGCAGCCCGAATATGTAAATGGTTGCTTCTCTGACTGTACAGCTGGGTGACACGGGATCAAATCCGCTAGAGAATATCAGTTTTGTTAAGATTACAAATATATATTACTAATGAGTACTGAAATACAACGAAATCTAGGTCGAGCAGCATCTCCTATCGCCTATCTTTAACCTCCATCTTATTACATATATGAGTTCAATTGGGAAAATATTCAAATTCTGAGTGAAAAAACTCTTAATCTGCCGGAGAATTACTAGTTTAATGTATGCTGCTAATGTCGACAGAAATAAGTAGTATGTAACACCAATCAGAAGTTGAATAGCTGTCAGCAGAAGATTGAGGAATCAAGTCGAAGAGAATGGGAATGTAAGCGGAAAGTAATTATAGATTGGAAGAATCATACAAAATGTGAGGGACAATTGACAGATCTGCAAACAAAGTGTTTATTGTATAGTTCTCATATTTTACGAAGATATTCCGTAACTTTTTTCATTAAAAATCAAATTAGTTGACACCATCCGAGTGTTCGTTCACTACACTAGGAGTATTGTGATGTGTGCTACAGATGTCGACTAGTATAATTAGTATGTATCATTAATTGAAAGTGAAATACTTGGTGGCAGAAGGTCAAGAAGATCGAAGAGAAGAGAACCAGAACATAAGGTGATTGGTGTGGAAACGAAGGAGCAGTCAAGTCTAAAACAATTTATTGATATTTTGCAAATGAAGAATTCATTGTATGGCTCTTAGATTTTACTAAGCGATTCTGAAATTTTGTGTTCACATACATTCGGTTACCCCCCACTTATTTGTTGTCGTTTACTACAGTATAAAATCTGATAACGAAACACAAATATAGTTATCCATACAGATTGATTTGATACTTATGAAAGCAGTTCTTAAATCACATTTCTATATCATGTCAGCGCTAATATCATTGTCCGGAATAACAAATAAATCATCTCATTCAAGGAACTACATTACTATCAGAAGGGGGTTTTGTGGAAATTTTAGTAAGTTCAATCGACGAGATCATGAGCCAATTGAAACTAGACCACCATGGAAAACCTGGAGGCACTGGACGGCCGTTTTGTTCTATTGTGGGACACCTTAGCAGTGCGCATCCACGATCCCACCTCGCGGGATTCGGACCTAAGACCTACTGGTCTCGCGCGCGAGCACTTAACCACTAGACCAATGAGCCGGCATCCAACGGTGTTAATATCTAACTTCGACTAATCCATGAAATCGAGCGACACATCCACCATTGTCATCAGTGAGTTACTATCTCACAACAGACCACGTTGAACTCCATTGATCACGGTTTCTCACTAGAACTTCAGGAAATAACGCTTGGAGACAGTTACTAGTGAGCATATGATGATTATAATAAGAGAGGGGTTTCGTGGAGATTATAGTAATTTAATAATTAAATTCATGAGTCATTTGAAGCTAGACTACTAACATGGAAAACCTGGAAGCATTCACGCGCGAGACTGATAGGTTCTGGGTTCGAATCTCGCGGTGGGCGGGATCGTAGATGTGCTGTCTGGTGCTCCCAGGTTTTTCATGATGGTCTAACACATGATCTCAGCTATTAAAATCACTTATAATATCCACAAAATGCCTCTCTGATTGTTTTCATATTATCTTAGGTATATCTTCATAATGACATAAATTACAAATGTTTTATCGTTTATTCGTCATGACACTTTCTACTTAATTCCTTTTATTTATCTACTGATCATGATAAATATTGTTTATTTAAATTAACAAATAAACAAACATACAAAAAATGTACTCAAAATAACAGATAATCAGTGAAATTTTATCAAGTTGTTCTTTTCTAAAGTAAACAAAATGATCGGGGGGTGGGTGAGGTTTTGTTACTTTCTTTTCTTTTTCTTATTATAAATATCATCTACTTACATGTTTTTGTGAGTAATATGTTGTTTGTTTTCATATCTCAACAATATTTAGTTTGAAGTGATATTTATATGTGTGTAAACAATAAGATGGATCCATTATTTTATAGTTTCATTCAAGTATTAACTGATTCTACAATCTTTACAAATCATTGTATACTAATGATAATCATATTTTTCATTAGTGATAAGCTGTAGAATACAGTCCTTAGAGTTGAAATGACAAGCTGAGATCAATCGAGTTCAATTATGTCTAATTGGAGATAGTTATTCATTAAAGATGATCAAAAATTATAACCTGATATCAACAATTGAATAAAATTAGACATATACAGTATTGAATATCGATTCAGTGGTTGACAATTAGATAATCATGGTTGAAATAAGTTTCTGTGAGTTATTTATGAACAGAGTTAACCACAAGATCTGAAGATTTTGGGCTTGACTGCTATTAGGATCGTGTGTGAACTCTGTTAAGGTTGTCAGCTGTCTAGTGATTTCTGTCTTTCAATAGTATCTCAACTGAGGATTAAACAAATTCCCATTCAACAATTATGTTACATTTTATCTATTTTAATGTATCAGTAGAGTATCTTATCTACACTTCTACATATACAACTTAGATCAACATAGAAAGTTGAATTACATTTGTTTAGACTTAGACAAATACCTAATTATATGGTATATGCCACTCATATTGATAGATATAAGTAGTATGTAGCACAAGACGGAAGTGAAATGCCTATCAACAAAATATTAAGAAGATTGAATCGAAGAGAACAAGAAGGGAAACAGAGAGCAATTGTAATATCAATAGAATTAAAAGAATCATGAAACTTCAATAGTTGAAATCATGAATCAATTGAAGCTAGACCACTATGCAAAACCTGGAAGCACTGGACGGCCGTTTCGTCTTTGTATGGGACTGATAGGTCCTGGGTTCGAATCCCGCGGGGGGCGGGATCGTGGATGCGCACTACTGAGGAGTCCCATACTAGGACGAAACGGCCGTCCAGTGCTTCCAGGTTTTCCATGGTGGTCTAGCTTCAATTGATTCATGATTTCAACTATTGAAATTACCAATTCTCCACAAAAAATCCTTTCTAGAAATCATGAATCATGTTTAAGGAAAACTGAAGATGTGCAAATAATGTATTTCATGTATGATTTTCATATTTTATGAAATCTGTAATCTGCAATGGTTTATCAGTGATTAGCGTTAAATCAATGTCATTCTGTTCTAATGAAATGAATACCGTTCAAAGTTTTTTCCACCTATTGCAGTGTTAACATTGTTACATCAACGGTAACTTGTTTTGGTAAAAAGTTTATTCTTCAACGTTAATAACAAACTTTCATTGCTCCTTTGTTGATTTATTTATTTTTTTTTAGGGAAATGTAATCAAATTTGATCAAGTCGAAGCTGATGATGCTGGTGAGTATATGTGCTATGCTGAGAATTCCATGGGTCGAGCACTGTGGCGCGTTCGATTGCAAGTTAGGCGTAAGTATTCAATAATATATTTTTATTCTGGTAAATATTCACAAGATAAGATTTCCTTTCTTGCTACAGATTGATCTAAGTTAGTGAACTATTAAATGTCATAGAATAGCGAATTTTCATTCAAATTTAAAAATCTGCAGTACTCTGGTCATTCATCAAGCTACTTAGAATCGAATCCAAATAAGAAGGTGCTGCATTTCGATTACTGACAAGGAATCATATAGTTAGTATCAGAATATTCAGATGCTGTATTTATCAATCGCGAAGATTGTTAACAGCTATACTTAACTCACTCTCGACTCATTTACAATTTACTTGTGGGGAGACAGAGGAAGGTGAGTAGAATACAAAAAAGACAAAAACGAACAGAAATTATCGAATAAGAGTAAAGAAAATGATGAGGGAAGGATTCTTTTAACTAGAGATGTTCCTCTAATTTATATACAGGAAGCAAAAGAAAATTAAGACAGTATCACCGCCGGCTTCTATTGTGAGCTATGTTTTTAAGGTTTTCATCCACTATATAACACTATCTCTAGGACCCTAACTAGGAAGTCGTAAAGGATTGATGGAAGACGGTCCTGTACAGCTTTTCAGCATCATGTCACAAACCGAACACCACTATTTTTAACCAATCCCAGAGTTGGGAATTAATGCACGATGTGAAATTCACTGGGACGACATTCGTAGTATATGCCTAAGCCACTGAAGTCTGTGTTTCAAGATGGTGAAACCAATTCAATTATCGCCACTGTGCCCCAAACACACGTTGCTGGACTTCCACATTACTAAGATGGTGTTGTCACCAAATGTCAGTAATCCTTCGAATTAAACGATGGTCAAACATAGAGTTACTTGACATTTTCAACTCGGAGAGGACAGATTTCACAAGCATCCAGAAAAACTGCTCACACTGACTCATTGTAGATCTGACCTTTTTCAGTCAGACTAGCATTACACAGGCGCTAGAGTTGACTCAGATCGGAATAAGCTGCTTTGGCTTTCACTACATGTGAGTTGATCTCGTTGCTCATCCCATCACCAGCATTTATACAGTTACCGAGATACATGAATTTCTCAACTAATTCTACCTGCTTACTACCAAGAGTGGGTGCAGGTGTAGACTACTGCTGGTCTTGCAAAAGTACTTTGCACTTTTCAAGTGCAAAGCACATGTCGTACTTATAAATGCTAAACTCATCTTGGCTAAATTACTTTCTGTATTTACGTAGACATATATCACATCAATGATTTTGTTTGCAATAAAATAATTGTATTATAGATGCACCAATTGTTCGAATATTCCCTGTTGAACCATTTCAAAAATCTGGTTGTAATCTACGACTAATATGTGTAATTGATGCTAATCCTCCAGTAGAACAACATGCTTGTCAATGGATATCAAATCGAACAGGCACTATTACTTCCGGATCTGTTGGGTAAGAGGTGTTGTTTTTTCTTTGCATGTATTCTAACTATGCGATATAAGTATAAATATAACTGAATAGAATTCGGGCCAAGGAAGATGAAATGTTGAAAATATTGTTTCAGGCTTGAATCGACAGTAGGACAACGCCTCAGCATTGTATAAGTTTTTGATTTGACCTCCATTCAATCTAATTCTTTTGACCGCATAGATTATTTTAAAGGACGGTTTCTTCGATGCAACGTACTCATTCATTTTATCGGCTTTTTTTCCAAACGGTAAGTTGGAATGTGTTGCAGTGGCACGTACACAGAAGATACATATAGAAAACTATGGTTGAATGAAATGAAGCCTCCAGTCAAATTTATTCATTTGTATTTCAGGAGTCGCTCAATAAACGAACCGAGATCTGCAAAGTATTGCAAACATATGTCAACTAAGATTAAGTTTTAGTCATTTTTAGTCTTATAGGTATCATTACCAAGGTTTGATGTGATAATTTCGAATACATTGAGCATTGAGTTGATTTTTATAAATAAACAATATATTTGTAATATTCCAATGAGTAGAAAATTAGATTTACTGACGCTTCGTGACTTAGTGTAGGTCACTTCTTCAGAGAATAGATAATAATATTTATTCTCTGAAGAAGTGACCTACACTAAGTCACGAAACGTTAAAAAATCTAATTTTCTACTCATTGGGATATTACAAATATATTATTTATTTATTTTTAGTCTTAATTTACGAACAACAGGATAATTCAAGTCGTTATAAATAAAGCTAAAATTCATAACCGTTGTCTAAAACAGTGACTGTATGGACTAAATGGGCAAGAGAATAATCCTTTGGTGTTTGGTTCGAAAATTGCTGCGTTCGAATTGTGAGATCTAGGTACATCCAGTTAAAGATTATTAAATAGGACGAGCCTCGTATCCTGGATTTCACTACTGACTACATTCCATCTACTTTGTACATTATTTTACTAGTTCTGTTTTTTTAAAAATAAATAGAATTTGATGGCGGCAAAGAATTTGGAGATATACCACTGATTAATGTGATAGTCTTTATCTATGGTGGTACGATTCGTCATAGTACAATACTACTACTTATGAAAAGCTTCCGAAATATCTTTCACTAAATAATCAATATTTAAAAGATGAAATTAGTCGTACATTTGCCTTTCAAGCATATCAAAGTATTTTGCACAGCATTTAACTTTATTTGATATCGTGATATCGAGGTAGTCTGCACAGAATGCTGATATTATAAAAGAGGTCGATCAATTAAGGTCCTTAACATGATTCAAACATCCTTTCAAACTGATTTAAAATTCATCCCATTAAACAATCCATTGGTATCTGGATTGAGTAACTAAGTGGATAACGCATTGGTATTTTGATGCAACAGATATTGGATTCGAGTCTTGATTTGAGCATCAACATTAGGGTACAAGTTGATAAGTCCCATATAGGAAGAAACACCTGTCTCAGATTTCACTACCAATCACTATCCAACTATGCTCAAAATGTATCAAATCTATTTTTCACAATCATAGATTTTTCCTGTTACCGTCTTTATTATTTACTATTGAGTAATGACTAGTTTCACATTTGTCTAGTCTTGATTACTGATGGAGTTCTGCTGACTCAGTTTTATCGTGGTCACTGGTATAAGAAACTTGATATCTGATGCATAACGACGAGATGATGATTGATTGAATATAGTCTATAGGAAATCCTGTTAGACCTAGGTGGGTTTCTTACTGGTTGGTACTCGTCAGTGAGGCGCGCCTGTTATCCTGAAAGAACTGTTTTCAATCCCCACCGCTGCGGGATCTAAACATTTTGTTCTCACTATTTCACAGAGCTGAAATATCTGCTTCATTATTACCACTATATATCATATAGGTATATTAGTCCACAGAAAAAGGATGTTTAAAGATTATCTCAGCAAAAATTTAAACTTCAAACTTAGTTGAATCAAGAAAAAACCCATATGTTGTTAGATTTCTGTTATGTGATGCAAACAAACAAAATTGAAATGAATTAGGTTATGTTTTTCAAACTATCCTCTAAATCTCCAATATCCCAAGGAAAAACTTTTTCTACATCTGTAGAAAATAAAGGTTATGTTTACTTAAGTTTTGAAGTGGATTGATAATTTGGTAGCAATCAATATCATGGCGTCTAGTAGCTGGTGATGAATGAACGGCATCAGTTTATCTATGACCCTAATAGTTCATTGATAACAAAACTGCCTGTGAATATAAATGATGCAAGTTCATATCCCACAATAAGCATCGATTCCTACAAAGTTGGAGATGAATCTTACTGACAAATATCAATTATCGCTACTTGTAGATTAGACGAACATTCTTTTAGACGATCTTTAACCTTCAGGTCAGTTAAAGAATAGTCACCATGTTTCGATTTGATCGATGGAATTGAGTCAACAGCAATAAGAAACTAAAAGAAACATGACATTCTTTTGTTAAATAGCCAAAGAAAACTGGGAAGCACCAAACAGGCAGCTACCTCATCCTCGTATGGGACTACTTAGCAGTACGCATTTATAACTTCAGTAGGAATCAGACTGATGACCTTCATGGCGAGCATTTGACTTCTTGGCCACTGAACTGACACACAGTGGTCTACATGTTGAGTTTCAATCGATTTTCTATATTTCTCTACAATCTTCCTATGTCACTGATGGGTAACTGTCTTATATTAGAAATAGTTCAACTCCACTAGTCACTGCTTATCACAAGAGCTCATGGAAATTACTTCTTGTAATCGTTAAAAACCATATTATTGGGATGGCCTTTGAGAAGTACGACAGAGTATTTGGGAGCCCTAAACGAACCGGAAGTTTCCGCCCATTCAGAGCCTGATGGAGCTTTCTAAATTATCAACGTGGCATGCTATGATTGGACGGTAGCACGACATTCCTCTTTTGGGTATTGCTTGAATTGATTGATGTTGCAACCAACGCTAGTACCTAGAAATACACATTTTTTTCTGCACAACTTTGACTTTTACCGACCATTGAATTTTCTTGCTTTTTCCGTCTTTTGATTTGTAACTTTGGGGTTCCATACGTCCAAGTGCCGTTTGTTGTATTTCGTATTCTGCATTAATCAAGTAAAGGATGAATTTGAACAGATTGTTGAATTACATAGTTCGTATTACTGTATGGTATTAGTTAAATAAAGATTGATAACTAGGAATCACTATAAAGCTGTTTCGTCTCACCAATTACATTGTGAGGTGGTTGCGCAGTATAGAAATTAAATATACAAACCATTGGATGCCAGTTCAATTGTTTGAAGATTATTCACTCGTTAAGACATCTGAAGATTCCATTCACAGTCTAACAGTGAGATCGTGGATACACACAATTATCCAGTGCCTCCTTATTAACTAAAAATAGACCTCGATATTGCACGGAAAATTCCACAGTCTCACCCCTGTAATAATATATGTCATTATTTACTACTTATTAGTTAATCAGTATACATTGACAAGTTTCTTAAATAAATATCTTCCTTTGTTAACATACAAAAACTATTTTACTTTAATTTCTTATAGAACAAGATTAACCTATTTAAATGCTGGATTAATTCGTGATCTCGTTCTTGATTTGACACCAATAAAAAAACTAGATTTTGGTGATCTTTACACATGTACTGCATCGAATAGTTTAGGTACAGTTAGTGCTACCACAATGATTACAGGTAAGTGTGAAACTATAATAATAATCATAATAATCCTATTGTTAGATTCTGTGCATGTTTTTCTGCTCTATTCTCTTACTTAAAACATTATTGTTTTTTTTCAAATGATCAACGACTGAATGGTGACCAATATTATATATGTCAAGTCCTTCATAGTTCTGATTAAGTTTTATCGATCAGTTGGTGACTTGGTCACTAGTTTATTTAACTCAAAATCGCGTGCAAAAGAGAGGGAATTGCTTTGAAAAAAAAACGTTTATACAGTTGTGTAGTGGAAATAAGGTCATCGGAATATCAAGATAAATGTAATAATGTTATATTTCTGTACCAGCTATATAGATATGAATAGTGTATAAGTGTATAAGTGATGACTCTTTTTTCTTCTCGATGAAAAATGACTCTTACACAATTGATAGTTTTAATTATGAACTGGGTCAGGAAAAAAAAACCCGGTACAACTGTGCTTACTGATATAAGTCAATTCACAGCTGTGAAATAAAATCAATATTTTAGGAAAATAAACCCGAAAGTCTTGATGAGAATAAAACTATCTACGGCTACTTCCCTTGATATTGTTTTACTTGAATCTTCCCATTGATGTTTAAGACTGCAATTGATCAGTCTCTTATTGGCATATGTGCATACTGTGCGGATTGCCTCGATATTGCCTTAATTTACAAGCATTATAAGCAAAGATGGATAGTGGCTAGCAGTAGAATCCAGTTGGACGCGCGTTTCGTCCTATTTGGGACTCGTCAGTTAGATGTATCTGCATCTCAGAGTTGATGTTGATGGGCAGATTCAAGTAAAACAATATCAAATGAATTAATCTTTACCCCATTACACAAGCAAGTGGCTAACAGGACTCATTATCTAAGTGAATAACGCGATGGCGTTTGAAGCGGACGGTACTGGGTTCGAGTTCCAGAGTGAACATCAACTCTGAGATGCAGGTACATCCAGCTGACGAGTCCCAAATAGAACGACACGCGCATCCAACTGGATTCCACTGCTAGTCACTATCCGTCTTTGCTTATCTACGGCTACGATAAGTTGAATCGTAGGAAATGATGTAATAGTCAATCAACATATGCTCACTAGTGATGGTCTCCCAAATGTATTTCCTAGAGTTCTAGTGAGAAGGAGTGAGCAGTGGAGTTCAACCGGGTCTGTTGTGAGATAGTAACACACTGAAGATAATGGTGGATCTGTCGCTCAATTTCGTGGATTGGTTGAAGTTAGACATGCTTTGAATCATTTTTTCTGATTAGCATTTTTTCAGCAAGTTAGTTTTATACGGGATGGGGTTGCTAACCCTTTACCCATTTCTTCTTCTTTATCCGCGCTTGAGTGGCTCCAGGCGGAGATATCTCTATAGTTAGAACATTAAATTGAGACTAGTTAGTACTTAATAATTGTTCGATTTTTTTTTCATGCTTTAAAACTTTCCATCATCATGTCAATCCACAACATTTATATCTTTTATCAATCAATAATAACTGTGGACCTATGAAGTCGAAAACTTCTAAGTTAAAGAACAGGAGTATACTTTATTTTGTCCAGTCATAGAAAATGTAGATAGTATTAGTTTCACATGAAATATAACGTCGTTTTTAATTTGTAAACTAAATATTATCGTCTCAATTCACCATGTACATACATGTATGTTGATAGTCAAATAGTTTATTGGTTCATAATTACTTAGGTACTTACGTCTGTTACTCCTAATGGAGCATAGGCAGCCGACCAGCATTCTCCAATTCACTTTGTCCTGGGTATTTCTTTCCAGTTCTATCCACTTCTTATTTATTCCTCTCATGTCTGTCTCCATTTTTCGGCGTGATGCGTTCATTGGTTTTCCTCGTCTCCTTGGACCTTGTGGACTCCATGTGAGGGCTTGCCTTGTGACTCAGTTTGGTGCTTTACTCAATGTGTGCCCTATCCAATTTCAGCGCTTCTCACTAATTTCTTCTTCCACTGGATATCTGGTTTGATCTTTCCCATAGTAGGTTGTTGCTGATAGGCTCTGGTCACCGGATCCGAAGTATTTTAAATAGATAACTGTTAACAAACACTTTTATCTTCTGGATGATGGCATTCATAGTTCCGCAAGTTTCTTCCCCATACAGTAGCACAGTGTTGATATTTCTACTGAGAATTGTGAGTTTGCTGTTGGTTGGCAAACAGTTGTTTTGAGTTTCACATATTCTTCAATTGTGAATATGCTGCTGTTGCTTTGCTCATTCATGCCTTCACATTTGAATCAGATTCACCGTGTTCATCAATGATGCTGCCCAGATACGTGTAGGTTTTTACGTCTTCTAAATCTTCTACGTCATGTGTGATTTTATTAGTGTTTGTTGTTATGTATCGGAGAATCTTGCTTTTCCTTGTGTATGTGTTGAGACCTGGTGCTACTGAGACTTGCTACACTTGTCGTCTTCTGCATTTTTTGGTTGCGCGTGCGGTAAAAGATCCAGATCATGTGCGAAATCTAGATCGTTCAGCTGCATCGCAGCTGTCCACTGTATTCCATGCTTCCCCCAGATGTTGACATTTTCATGATCCAGTCGATCGTCAGTAGAAAGAAAAAGGGTGAGCGTAAGCAACCTTGCCTGACAGTGGTCTTTACTTTGAACGAGTCTGTGAGCTGTCCTCCATGCACGATTTTTCAGTTTAATCCGTCATAACAATTCCGTATGCTGTTTACTATCTTCTCAGGCACTCCAAAGTGCCGTAGTGCTTATTGTATGGATGATAGATATTCTTACTGAACGCTTGAATCGGTTTCCCATGCTCTTCTAGTACTTACTTACTTACTTACGCCTGTTACTCCTCGTGAAGGAGCATAGGCCGCTCACCAGCATTCTCCATCCAACCCTGTCCTGGGCAATCCTTTCAAGCTCTTTCCAGTTCTTGTTCATTTTTTTCATATCTGCTTCTATTTCCCGACGTAATGTGTTCTTTGGCCTTCCTCTTTTCCGCTTCCCTTCAGGATTCCAAGTTAGCGCTTGTCTCGTAATGCAGTTTGATGATTTCCTCAATGTATGTCCTATCCATTTCAACCGTCTTTTCCTAATTTCCTCCTCAGCTGGAAGCTGGTTGGTTCTCTCCCACAAAAGGCTGTTGCTGATGGTATCCGGCCAATGGATGTTGAGTATCATGCGTAGACAGCTATTGATAAATACTTGTACCTTCTTGATGGTGGTTGTTGTAGTTCTCCAAGTTTCAGCTCCGTACAGTAGAACTGCCTTGACGTTAGTATTGAAGATTCTGACTTTGATATTGGTTGAAAGTTGTTTTGAGTTCCATATGTTCTTCAGTTGAAGGAATGCCGCTCTAGCTTTGCCAATCCTCGCCTTGACGTCTGCATCTGAACCTCCTTGTTTATCGACGATGCTTCCCAGGTATGTGAAGGATTCTACATCTTCCAGTGTTTCGCCATCAAGAGTGATTGGATTGCTGTTCTCCGTGTTGTGTTTGAGGACCTTGGTTTTCCATTTGTGTATGTTGAGGGCTACTGATGCAGAGACTGCTGCTATGCTGGCTGTCTTTATCTGCATTTGTTCGTGTGTATGTGATAGGAGGGCTAGGTCATCTGCGAAGTCCAAGTCGTCTAATTGGTTCTGAGCTGTCCATCGTATGCCCTAGTTTCCCTCAGATGTCGAGGTCTTCATAACCCAGTCGACCACCAGAAGAAACAGGAAGGGAGAGAGTAGACAGCCTTGTCTTACTCCGGTCCTTACTTGGAATGCGTCTGTCAGCTGTCCTCCATGCACTACTTTGCACTGTAGTCCATCGTATGAGTTCCGGATAATGTTGACAATCTTCTCAGGAACTCCGTAGTGTCGAAGAAGTTTCCATAACGTTCTCCTATCTACACTGTCAAATGCCTTCTCATAACCAATGAAGTTGATGTAGAGTGACGAGTTCCACTCAATTGATTGTTCGACGGTGATCCTTAGTGTCGCAATCTGGTCTGTGCACGACCGGTCCTTACGGAATCCAGCTTGTTGATCTCGAAGTTGAGCGTCTACTGCGTCTTTCATCCTGTTCAGTAACACTCTGTTGAAGACTTTACCTGGTATTGACAGTAGTGTAATGCCTCTGTAGTTTTCACACTTGCTCAGATCTCCTTTCTTTGGAATCTTGATGAGGTGTCCTTGTTTCCAATCCATCGGCACTTGTTCCTCCTGCCAAATCTTCTTGAATAGAAGATGAAGCATGCTTGTAGTTACTTCGATGTCTGACTTCAACGCTTCAGCTGGTATATTGTCAGGTCCTGCTGCTTTCCCGCTCTTGATTTGTCTGACGGCCATTCTGATTTCTTCGGTCGTTGGTGGATTGACATTTATAGGAAGATCTGTGTGTGCTGCTTCGATGTCCAGTGGATTCATTGGAGCCGGCCTGTTCAGGAGTTCCTCGAAGTACTCTGCCCATCTGTTGCGCTGTTGTTGAATCTCATTGATTGGTCTTCCTTCTTTGTCTTTGACTGGTCTCTCTGGTTTACTGTATTTCCCTGCTAGCTTCTTCGTCGTATCGTAAAGCTGTCTCATATTTCCTTCTCTTGCAGCTTTTTCCGCCGTCGTTGCTAGTTCTTCCACGTATTTTTACTTGTCAGCTCTAATGCTCTTCTTCACTTTCTTGTTTGCTTCTATGTACTCAGCTTGTGCTTGGACTTTCTCTGCTCTTGTTCGACTGTTGTTAATTGCTGTCTTCTTGTTCTTTCTTTCTTTGATCCTGTCCAGTGTTTCTATAGAGATCCATTCCTTGTGATGATGCTTCTTGGGGCCCAGAACCTCTTGACACGTTGAAGTTAGTGTTTCTTTGATACCTTTCCAGCTATCCTCCATGGTAGTTTCTTCTTCCTTCAGTAGGTCCTGTAAGGCTTGGAACCTGTTGTTGAGAGCTACCTTGAATTCATTAAGCTCTTCTAGTAACTTAAGGCTAAATCTACACGGTAACGTGAATACGAGAGTAATGGCGTGAAATGTGGAAAAACACTTTACTTCAAGATTAGTTTATGTACATAATATTTAGGTTATTTATGACATTTCAGACAAACCTGAGCATCTTGAAGCTTCTGAAACCCTACTAAACATAATAACTGAATAGGTAATCATTCAATCCGAAATATGACACGTGACTCTTTACTTTCTAGATGTTTCTTGGAAACTTCTATTGTACACTGATTAGATAAAATGTTTCCCAGGGATTCGGGCCCCTCTGGGCTTCTTTCAAGGAATTTCCTGGGTCTCCCTTATAATGAACTAATCTGATATCATTATCTATACATATAAATATGTTTTAATTTACTATGCTAATCGTTTAATTTCTTTTAAAATAGAATCCTTCACTGAAGTACTACTTATCAATGGTAGATATGCTTGTAATCATGCTGTTAATTGGATTCATATGAATGCATATTTATTTATAAGTATTCATTGTTTCAATCTTCTATTAATAAATGAATTATTTTAAAAGAAAAAGAAAGTGAATGTTAATTTATATTTTTTTCCACTCCTCCTAACCCTACTACTTACTACTTCTAATACTACTACTACCACTACTACTACTACTACTACTACTACTACTACTACTACTACTAATACTACTATTACTATTTTATATGGCATTGATTATAACATTGATTAATTGAATAGTAAGTAGTATCATGAAGTGTAAGTGAATTTTGTCTACTACTTAATTGACCATGATTTTTTTGTATGTTCGAATAACTGTACTAAGTTTTTTCCTACTGTTATTCTTGTTGTCGAGGTTTTCTTTTTTTTTTTTTGTAAATTTTACGTATTTATGAATTTCACGAGAAATATTACATAACTCTGTATAGGATTTTTATATTTGTGATCAATATTCTTGTGTGTGCGTGTGTGCATGTGTATGTGTATGTGTGTGTGTGTGAATATGTTTTCACCAAACGTTTACATTTAATTGATTCGTAAATATCTCTAAGCAAACTTTTAACTTGTCCTTAATTTAATAGCTAACCTAGAAAAAACAAACAAACAAACTTGAATTGAAAGAGTTTAAGTACTTCACTCTTTTCAATCAATCAATATCATCTCTTATTTCATCATTCATATATCAAGATAATAGTAATATGAATGATAGTTTACAGGAGTATTCAGTACTGAAAGTTTAATTCTAATGAAAAGATTCTCAATACAAAATGTACGGAATTGTGATACAAATGGTTACACTTTTAGAAGTATTTACCATGTGAATAGAAATTGATTTATTTACTACTTGAACTGATTACTAATTTCTTGGACCACTTTCTAGGTTCCTCGAAGTGGTGTGATGTAAAAGATTAGACTTGTTCCAAGATTAATTTTTATACAGAAAAAGCGAGCTTACCGATACATTTATGGATAGCCTTAGTCATATAGGAGATTCTACAAATGTATTTAATATAAGAACAAAATGAGTAATTAAACTAGAATAGGCTTTAGTTTCTCTGGATTTTTTTTGTAGGCTTCTGTTTGATTCTAATAGGAAGAGATTTTTTTTTGCCTTTCTATAGCCTATGAATACTTGATTGTGGGATTCTTAGGATCTTTCAATAGTTATCACTTCTTGAAATGGCAAAAGAGCAAGAAAGTATACTTCTTAAGTTTCTTAGTAGTTAGGTAGGTAATAGATTGTAAACACTATATTGAAGAGGGTAATTACATACGCTTTGAATATATACCCAGTTTCAAACAGAAAATGTTCTGTGAATAAGGAGAAAACTTTGTTCAGCAGTTTATGAAGGTTGCTCCGTTGTTTTTGAATTATATCATACAACATTAATTTTGATGAATGTTGTCCATAAAAGATCGTTAATTGTTAGATAATAAATAGAGGTTGATTTTCGGATAGCAGTTAGTATCAGAAATACAGTTTAGCCCCTCCCTTTACCCAAAATCATCAACTGAATGTATGTAACAATACTACATTGTTGACGCGCTACCAAATGCCCTGGTACGGCCGAGAGTGGGAAGAGTCTGCTCTCCCTCTCGAAATGCTCCCACATGGCCACGCGTATATAGCCTCTGCCAGGGAAGTCCTTATCACTGCCTTCTCGTGGCGTGGGTGTTATTTACGGAAATGAGAGGACGAAAAGCGAATGTTCGGCTGTATAACTAGATCCCAAAGCAATGGTGCACATGGGCTCCAGCATCCTGCGCGAACAAATGGCGTATGAACCAATCGTTGGTCACCGGCTACCATGGGACTGCATCTCCTCACGATGCTCCACTGCCTTGTGGGTCAGACGTTTAGGTCGAAGGCTCGGGGTGTGGCCCCCTAAGAAAACCACCTGCTTCGGTTTGGGCACCCGGGCAGTATCACAGCCCTCACACAATTCAATTGAGATTCGTATGGCGCATATGTATTTGGTGCCTCCTTGTACCAATACCTATGTGTTAAAATAAATAAATAAATAACACTGTTGACGCTCATCTCAAAGCAGTTAGTGTTAATAACCATATTTAAAAACATTTGGCTCAATGATTAATTACCGATGATAAAGTTGGATGGCCAGCTTAGTAATTACTTTAATTCTGAACATTGATTATATGAAAATAGAATTAAATAGGACATTGTGAGTTGTATTGTGGAAGTTATTCATCATGCATTATATGCATATTGACTTGAATTCGGCCAGAGTAGAGAGAAACCTTACAAACATCTCCTGAATCCATACGTCAAACTTTTCTAGTTAATTTAAAAAGACTGATGACTTTTTTTCAAAACAAGGTGTAACTTGTTGTTGGGGACGTTCGATCCCCAGAACTCACCTGGAAAAGGACTTAATTTTGTAATTTTGTTTAGGAAATTTGAATTTCTTTGTTTTCGCGCCAGAAGCGCTCATGTCACCTTCGTTTCCCACTGGGAAAAATATCTTAAATGCTATTGGTCCGTTGCATCTTTAAGTATGCTATTTGGTAACTCCCCAAGGACGGTTTTGTACTCTATATATGCATTTTGAATTGTGTTTGTTGTGATCGCTCGTTTCTGACTGTTTGCAGAATATATTTTGTCATTCCAAGCTTGGACTTCTTTCTGTAGTTAACGTGGCTGGGACGCATCAAATAGCTAGGTTATTGGTTTTTGGTCACTGAGTCTTTGTTCCGTCCACAGTCTAAGTGAACTCGTAACCGCTTCAAACCTAGCAGTTTTATTTGATCAAACTATTTAATTTAAACAAAATTCGAGAGCCAGATTTAAATTTTATTCATATTATATGCTTTAGTAAAAATCAATGGAATCTTAGTGGCTTGGAATCTGATATTATACATATCGTCAATTCTCGTATACAATCAATCGACTTAACTCGTGTTGGTGAATAACGGGATTAAATAAGCCAAACATGAGAATCGATGCTTGATTGCGAATATTTTGTATACTTATTGATCAGAACAGACAATAAGATAACCTCAGCGAATAAGAGAGAGCGAAGCAGAAAAAAATGACGCACGATGGAGGTGTCAGAGCCAAATCTATTCAATTAAGCATTCATCAATATATTTAGCCAGATAAAAATGTGATGAAATAGGATAAGAATTGTACGCACATATGCGCTCTTATAAAGACAAGTAAAGTTGATAATTAACAAGGTTAAAACGTAACTCAATAAGAATGGATTAATTAGCCTGTCCAGATACTCGAATAAGTTATGTATATAGGCTTAACATAGTAACTGACACTACAGATTACAACTCAATAACCTGAAAATTAAACGCTTGTCATGATTTCTAAGAGTTTTTGATTTTAATCCTTGTTAATGTTGAGACACTACAATGTCACTGATATGTCCCCATACAAAGACAAAACATTTATCCAATTCTTTTTGGATTTTTATATGACCATCTAATTAAGTTTTATCCATGATTTTAACTATGAAATGGAAAAATTAAAAGAAAAAACTCACTAAATCCTTTATAGTAAACAAAACTGAATACTGTCAACAATCAATATGTTTCAATGCAATATTATTGATTCTGTGTTTTTGTTTGTTTTGTTTTAGATGGTAAACTATTATGTGAAATTAGGTTGAATGGAAAGATGTTTTACAGGTTATTCCTTTTCTTCTTCTTTTTCTTTTTCTTCTTTTTTGCCTTCTTTTTCTCTTCACATCTCATTTTAATCATCAATAAACAAATTTTCTTTGTTATTTCTTCTTCATCATCATCATCATCTTGTTCTTCAACAACAACAACAACAACAAAAATTCGGAGTGGGAATATTTTTATTCAGCTGCAATTGATGTATATTCTTGTTTAAACTATGTAGGTATGTTTGAGTATTCTTATTATTGTAAAGTATTTGTAAATATTAACCAAGCTAATAAATAAGCAAAGATGGATAGTGGCTAGCAGTGGAATCCAGTTGGATGCGCGTGTCGTTCTATTTGGGACTCGTCAGCTGGATGTACCTGCATCTCAGAATTGATGTTCACTCTGGAACTCGAACCCAGTACCGTCCGCTTCAAACGCTATCGCGTTATTCACTTAGATAATGAGTCCTGTTAGCCACTTGCTTGTGTAATGGGGTAAAGATTAATTCATTTGATATTGTTTTACTTGAATCTGCCCATCAACATCAACTCTGAGATGCAGATACATCTAACTGACGAGTCCCAAATAGGACGAAACGCGCGTCCAACTGGATTCTACTGCTAGCCACTATCCATCTTTGCTTATATTGCTTGTAAATTAAGGCAATATCGAGGCAATCCGCACAGTATGCACATATGCCAATAAGAGACTGAACAATTTCAGTCCTAAACATCAATGGGAAGATTCAAATAAAACAATATCAAGTGTATCAAGCTAATAAATGTTGAATTGTGATAAGTAGTAGAATTCAGAATGTGTACACTTTGTGCTGTTTGAGAGTTATCAGTGCAGTGTGTTTCCTATGGTTTTCTACTTTTTTGTTTTCCTTCAAGATTTCAAGTTAGGGCTTGCCTCGTAATACAATTTGATGATCTTTATAATGTATGTCTTATTCTTATTGCAACGTTTTTTTTTCTCCAATTTCCTACTCAGCTGAAAGTTGATTTGTTCTCTCTCATAATAGGCTATTACTGATGGTATCCTTTCAAAGGACACTGAGTATCTTGTGTAGACAGCTATTTATAAATACTTGTACATATTTGATGATGGTTGTAGTAATTATGGACGTTTCAACTCCGTACAGTAGAACTGTCTTTAAGTTTGTATTGAAGATTCTGACTTTGATATTAGTTGGCAGGTTGTTATTTTGAGTTTCGTATATTCTTCAACTGTAACAATGTTGTCCTTGCTTTGTCAATTTTTGTTTCAACATACAATACGTGAAAATACTCTCACTACAATTTATTATTGTATTCAATAGTTATCTATCTATCCCAATTATATTATTTATTTCAATACTAATATAATCTATTTCAAATGTAGAATATTATTTATATACCCATATGTAGTTAAATAAATATATATCTTTACAAAATCCCTTCTGATACTCGTCAACATATGCTCACTAGTGACGGTCTCCAAAAGGTATTTCCTGAAGTTCTAGCGAGAAGCACTGATCAGGGGAGTTCAACCGGGTCTGTTGTGAGATAGTAACTCACTGAAGACAATAATGGATGTATTGCTCAATTTCATGGATTAGTTGAAGTTAGACATTAAAACCGATGGATGCCGGCCCAATGGTGTAGATATTAAGTGTTCGCACACGAAACTGATATATTCTGAGTTCGAATCCCGTGAGCGGGATCAAGGATACGTACTGCTACTGAGGAGTCCCACAATAGGACAAAACGGCCATCGAATGCTTTCACGTTTTCTTTCGTAATCTAACTTCAATTGACTCATAAACTCAACTATTGAAAATATTTGTTTGTTTATTTATTTACCTCTTAACAAAAAGAAACCAAACAATTTCAAGTTAACAATATTGAATATAAGTATTTGTTTAAAGTAGTTCAAGTGACAATAATAAAAGATGGTAACGCACAAATTCAATTAAGTAATTTGTTTTTATATTTTAACAAGATTTTTTAATGTTTTATTATTATTATTATTATTATTATTATTATTATTATTATGGAAATCAATGAACTAAGAATGTCAACTACATAATTACATCAATGAATAAGTAAATAAGAGAAGTTCTAAATAGAGGAATGAGTGAATAAAGAAATAAATAAATAAACAAATCTATAGTTTATCTTGTCATTTAAATCTTATTTATAAATATACATTTTTCTTGT